GTGCTCACGGCCTCCTTTCTGGCAGCCGCGAGTGAATGTTTGCGGCGCTGAGCACGGAGAGAACTGAAGCACCCAGCAGAGTCGGGTTGCTGCTAATGGGCTCCCAGCGAGAGGGACGTCTGCGAGGATGAAGGCTAACACCTAGCGAAGGCTCCTTGCTGTGCGAGATCCCAGCCTGAGCCTGAGGCGCCACAGGCCAGATTGCTGTGCAAATCCATTCCCCGCAGTCGTTAGCCAGCGACGAACGTTACGGAAAGAGGGCAAATCTGCAGACCGTGTCTGCCAGCTCCCAACGCCTGCAAGGAGCCCAGGCCCCAGGGCCTGGCGCGCTGCCCCTCTGCAGCGGCACGGTACCTGGGACGTCCAGGTCGTCCCCGTTCCTCTGGCTGTCGCCGTCCTCCTGCCCGTCCGCGTTTTGCTGGGTGTGCTGGAGGCTCAGCTTGTGGCAGACTTCGAACGCCTGCCCCACCGTCCGGACGATGCGCATGGCTTGGCTCTGAGACGGGGAGAGGGGACAAGGAGCGTAACCTCAGCCGGGCTGCCCAGCGTGACACGGGCTTAAAACAGCTCGGACGCAAATCAGCTTTAAGGGACAAAGCTGCCCCCAGACCAACGAGGGGGCGTGGGAGAAGGGAGGTGTCGGCATGCGGCAGGGGACTGAGTGCCAGTGCTGGGACCAGCGCTCAGAGGGGAAACATCAGTGCTGTGGGCACCGCGCCGCAGCCCGCCGTGACGGAGGTCCTGTCCTGGCTAAGCCATGGAGGCCCTGGGACCGAGGGATGTGCATCCCAACATCTTTACCTTCTTCTTGGACTTGAAGACGTTACACCTGAAGACATTGCTAGACCCATCCCTGGCAATATAGCTGAAGATCTTTAGATCCTGGGAGTCATGGGACACGTAGAATATCCTGCAAGGACAGACAGGAGGGGGAGAATACGGTCTGCAATGCATGTATCATCTACAGTGCCCAGGAGAGCGACAAGGCCACGTCCAGTGCTTTCCAGGCACGCTCCGGGGTGCTGGCAGGTGCCACTGCTAAAGCCCCTCAGAAATTTTCTTGGCAGTGGCTTTACCAGGTTAAAAAAAATTATTCTGCCGATTTAGCAGCAGCAAGCATTTCACCAAGATAGCACAGGGCCCGCTCTGCTCAGCCCTCCCAGGGACGAGCCTCAGCCCGGGGCCCCGGGGATCCTCCGGGCCGCAGGAGACCCACAGGCTCCAAGGGGCAGCCCAGACCTTGCCCAGCGGAGCCAGGACGCGGCTCCCACGCCAGGAGAGGCCCCTGACAAACGCTGTCCCCAGCTGGGTCTTGCTGTTTCCCTTCAGGAG